AATCATGTACATTTATTCAATGCCAAATCATGGGATACAACTTTTACGTAGTAAAATCGCTACGGAGTTGGCAACGGTGCATTATGGGTAATGAATAGGAAAGCGACTCTTTCGAAGCAGTGATGTCACGTCGGTACAGTACAAGATATGGGGTTTTTCCAGGCATCAGGACTGCCAGTATATGTGGTTAAGAAGACAGTGACTATGTATCAAACACGCTGATTAAAAAAATAGGTAAGATAGAGTTGTGAGGACTTCCCTGCTTCGTCGCAGATTTATTTATATCACGTAATACCCCACTCCAGTAAATAATTCCTGTACTTGTTTGTATATGGTAATTCTTTATTATAAAGTAGCGTAACAAGTTAAGTATTTTAAAAATTAACTCTTAATTACGCAGTTGTTAATGTAAAGTTCTTTGCAGGCCCTCTAGGTCTACAGACTGAAGTTAAAGACGTCGGTGTTTTCACGAGTTACTCCCAGAAATTAGTTTGTGTTTTCCTAAAGAAAATTCCCGCGATTTTTCCCGCCCAGAATCTATTGGTTTATGAAGTTTATTACGAATATTCTTTTATAAAGTTACAGTGACGATATACATAGGAAAATATTAAAAATTTTAGAGGTTAGAAGTTCGTTTGAGTCTATTTTCATGTATTTCAGGATTGTTAATGTATTTTACGTATAAATATAAATACAGAGCGTGATATTGTCTGATAGGGGCTTCCTTTAAACTAGTTTATTTTTTCCTGTAACACGTTCCGGCTTGTTCCATTACTGCTGAGTTATGATGAGGTAAAGGAACACGTGGTGGGAGGGGGGGGGAAGTTGCCCGTGTAACTTGGCAATATGTCATGCAGGTGTGAGCTAGCATCGTGATGAACCATTCTAGGGCGATTAGTTACGTTGATGCACAGTGAAAATCCCCAACACTCGCTTTGTCTTCACAAGAATAAATAAAAAAATGTAGTCACGTATCTCTCTTTCAAGTTTCAAAGCGTATAAAAGGTGAAAATGCTGATGTATGAGCTTGAATCTTCGTCCGTCTTTATCCCAAGGCTCAGTAAAATGTCGACTGCCACGATAATTGTTACAAGTGGCAACACTGTCTACGTCCTGCGTTCTTTCTAATTGTGCAGTTCGCTCGACGATGTGGCAACACCGGCAGAAATTTATACAACACTGAAATTCAATATAATTAACAGCTGAGGAAACTTCATTAAAACGATATTGGGAGAAATGGGTCTCGAAGTATCAGACACGCAAAGCAGAACATTTTTCTAACACCATTAATCATTTTCGTCGTGTCCGTCCGCGAGTAAAACTGCCTTAAAAAAAATACGGACCAATTTCGATTAAACTCGGTATCGAATATCGAAACTAAACTCGTCGGTAGATGCCAGCGTTTCGGAAGAACACACCGCCTTACTCTTCAGGGCTACAGACGATATATTTCGTCGAAATGTTGGTAACTACGCATAAAAACATCATCAACTACACTAAATGTCTACCATTTTAACTATTTGAAGATCCCCCCTTCCCTTCCCCTTTCATTCACTTTCAGGCCTCTCAAATATATATTAGTCCCCGCTATGCAAACTTTTCAATTCGTATTAAGGCTCGCAATAATGCATAAATTTCTCAAATGAGAGAGAGATGTCAAGTGTAAAAACTTTTAAACGTCCATTCGATACAAACCATACGGAAATTATGTTCAAGGTTTGGAGACGTGTCGTAACGGGACCATGTAATGAGCCTGTAATATTACGTAAACAGACTGACGCCGATTAAATTTTACTTACGTAACTACCAAACTGAGAACAACCACTCGGTACTGTGTCCAGTAAACTACAGAAATGAACGAACTCTCTATTCCTAATAAATAAGAAAGTATAAAAGTAAACACATTTCCCCCCCCCCCACCCGTTTTCGTTGTGTAAATGTTTATTTATATAGCCACTTTTCCCAAAACGAACTTTTACTGATTTTAAAACAAAACCCCAGTCTGTATAAAATGCTAAATCCAAGCTCACTGCTAACATGTAACGTTGGGTAAAGCAGTCCGCCCGCCCTGACATCTTACGGTGGCGTGGGGCAATAATTCACAAACATATTTCGCGTATCGTAACATTGAAAGGAAATACTGGCCTGTTAAATGGCGTATGCTTCAATGAAGGATGCTATGAATATCTGTAATTCATCACAGAAAACTACCAACGATGTAATTCAACAATGGTACCAAAGTTATACACAAGATATCACTGTCCTATTTTGTCAGTGTTGACTATAACCTAACATTTATATCTAACAATGGGTCACTTGAGATCGTTAAAAATAATAGTAATGCAAAAGAAATAACACATATCATAATATAACGACGCCGTAGTCTAATAAATCCCTCGAAAATATGGCAAAAATCAAAATATTTCTGAACAATAATAACAAAGAAGTGAATTAAAAATTACGACTATTCGTGTTTGTTTTGTTTTTGTTACGTGAATGTGAAACATGGCGTCTCAATATTACACGAAATGACGGTTTTTGGAAGAATGTTTGGACGCACGAGGAATCTGTACGTTTCCGTAAATATTACGGTAACCAAAAAATGGTTGGATGAGATGGGCAGGGAATGCAGCGCGCACGACGTAACAGAAACTGGCTTAACATTTTCTTCAAAAGAAATTAACGCGAGCTAACGCTCGGACACAGCTGTTGAGGGAGCCATCAACCGGTCCGTAGGAATTCACTAGAAGTCGCATGGTTTCAAAAACACGTCTGGAATGAGAAAATAACTACGCGCTGTTTTTTTTACAAACAAAACCACAACAGAAGCCTCGAAAACGTTCCGATTCGTCGTTCTACGTTACCGGTAAGATCACATGATATCACTGTGTTGGTCATTCTTCTGTTTATAAGGTAACAATGTAATTTCTGATTTAAAAGACATTTTGATTGTTGACAGTTCTACTGATTCACCATATCGGTTGCCATAACGACACGATTTATCAACACCGTACACATTTTATTTTTAATAATCCTGACGACGGATGGTTTAAACTCGAGACCTTTTGTTTGCTAGATTATTACAATAACCACAGGGGTGGCCAACGAGTGTTTCTTGTTATAAAACACCCTCAAAGGTGTTCCTACTCTGTGGCGGGCGAGAGAGGTGAATACGTAAAAAAACAGTTTTCATTATTAGGAAGCATGCACCTGGACACACACACACAGAACACAGGCTATCACGTGATACTTATAAAACAGGTTATTTAAAGTCGAGCTTGAAATTATTGGCAAGGAAGTGGCCGAGGCCTACTTAGTCTTCTCTTGGTACTGTTATACGCCTGGAGGGGAATGAGGAAAATCATGTAAGATCTGGTCGGTGTACGGGCGAGATTCGAACAAGGATCGTCCCGTATAAAGGTCACACGCTTGAGCAAAGCTGCTAAGAAAACTCTATATTGAAAACAAAGCCTAGGCTTCTCGAATTACAAGCATCAGATATTAAATAAGTTCTATTCTCAGAAAGTTGCCTTCTGTTCCTCAAACTATGAACTTCTCTGACTTCCTCACGTAGGGCAGACAGATTGAATTTCGAGTACAAATAAGACGCTTTAGTCTGGAAATAAATATGAATTCTATTAACGACCTCTGCAGCTACAGAAAATCAGTCCAACAGCGTCACTTGTTAGGTTAATCAGGGTTGAAAGACTGCTCTGTTAGAATAAAAACCTTATTTAACTAACTGTAAGAGCAGTCCCCTCCTTGAGAAGCTGACAGTCGCTCAACTGGTCAAATAAATTCCTTCAATTTTAAGGTTATGTAACTTGAGAGTTTCATTTCAACGGTCGCCAAGCAAATTTAAAACAAAATATGGAATAAAAAAAATATATAAACAGAATACAACTTTCTAATTTCACTTAACTTCTCAGGAATTCGAAAGGTTACAAAGATAAATCCATGTAAGCTTACCTGATTCTTGTAATCTCCTACTGCAATGAACTGAACTTCATTCCAACGAAAGCACGTATCCTCTGCCACACGAATAATCCAATAATCCAACACTCGGCCTCCCTGCCCTCTCTATTTTCACTTATTTATTGTTCCTGTTTTGTACAAGTCACTTTTTAAACAATTCCGAACGACTTCTCACACTGTACACTCCTTTTATCATAGACTTCCTATTATGGACCTATTACCAGCACGTATATTCCCATAAGGAGCTTCTTCAATGTAAGGTTATGGTGTAGCACTGACTACGTGGAAGTTTTAAAGCCAGCAACATATGACAGATTTATAATATGATAATGTAAGGTTAGATTAAAGAATAAAACAACATATACAAAGCAAAAACCGCGAAACCAAACTTTTGAAACTATTTTCCACAACACAACCACACGCATACATGCATATTATCTTGACTTCGTTTTTTAATTACGTCACCGAACCATTAATTACCAGTCAAACTTCTTCTAATAGTCTTTATACACGCAGCCTGAAAAATATTTATGTTATCATGCATTGTTACACATACCGTACAAAGGAAATTATCGTCTATTATTGCTGGAAATATTTTGTTATTCTTAATATGCTCCTCATCACCTGAGCAGCGTTTCCCGTTTGATACCAGTCTCTGTAACACTAACAATGTCAGATGATAAAATTAAACGAATTACGATTGTATTAAGGCACATCACAGAACTTTCTCTGACGCAATCTGTTGTGACAACGTCCTCCATCAAAGAGCCAGCCGTCAGCCAAACTGCACACACCATCAGCTCAACGCTCCGCGCCGCGCCAGGAAGCTGCTACTAGCGCCCCTAGCTCTCTAGCGGTGAACTAAACCGGACTACAACTCCCCCCTTTCCCCTCAACCGTAGCTTTACCGATCTCACCGCATAAGTTCACACAAAAGACTTTTTCCCATCCCAACAAAAAGTTAAAAAAAGGGGGAAATATAGCTGATATGCGCGCGCATTCTGTACTCCAATTTCGCGAGCATTGTGACGTCAGCTTATAGCAATGACGTAACGTGACGTTTGAGAGCTAGCCACTACGTAACTTGAAAAAAAACATCACTTGGAATAAACTTTGACATAAATTTCCTTTTCTAATGTGGTGTCCACAAACATACAAAGCATCTGATTCGAATCCTCTCATAATTTATTACAATAATTATTAATCTCAGCAGTTGTGTACTAATTTATCTGCTTTTAGAATAGGAACTTCGGTTTGTAACAAATGTTTTTTTTCAAATCAGAAACTGCAAGATTTTATGTATCTGTTGTTTATTTTTACTTGTGGGGAATTTTATTGTAGATACTGAGGGAAACCACGAAAGACTCATTCACAATGGTCTGTTTCGTGGCCGAGGTTTCAATCAGGGACCTCTGAAACACGTAGAAAAAGTTCTAACCACTAGACCGTGAAGGTACGTTCTACTTTATAAAAACTTTCACTTTTATGTTAAAATCGTACGTTATAAGCCTGTGCAAAAACGTTTCTTATGAATTCGTGATCTTTCGCATTTAAATAGCGCCATCTTGTTTTTCCGTATTTATGGTGAGTATTAAAATTATGTAATTTATTCTGCAAATGTTTGATTTTTTATTTTTGTGTTTCAAATCATAACCATGTTCTATCTTTAACTACGACTACTGACCCCCCCCCCCAAAAAAAAAAAATACCCTGTCAAAACTGATTATATTACAGGCCAGTTTACGAGGTCTAATTTTCCCCCCGAATATTTTTCGTCACTGACTGAAACTGTTTATAAATATTTTTGTTCTGATCTTACTTAATTATCGAAATAGGCCAATGTAAAATTTTACTAAATTCATTAATTTTCTGGTCTCCACTTCAGTAATTATTTGTTTTTTTTAAAATTTATGTTACACTAGTCTGTTATTTTGATACTGATATTGTTTTATTCCATTTTTTTAAAATGATCATTTATTTTATTTTTATAACGCGAGAGATATGTTATCTAATGTCAAACATCAAAACAAAGCCTGTTTTTACTCCCTTGGATTCCATGAATAATTATTTATTACTATATTTGTTATAAATTATACCTTCGCTTTTAAGTATACCTTTTATTAAATAATATATTTTTTATTTTCCTCATTTTCTGATGTGAATTTTGTAAAAATATTAAATATTATAATGTTATTTCAGATACTCTTATTTTAACTAATAAAGTCTGTACCATCTAAGAATCTTGAACATCAACATATTTATTTGTTTAAATCTTGTCAGTCTAATCACAATAAAATTCCTATTAAATATTAAAATATTACCATAATTAACATTTAAATATTTTAAATATTTAAATGTTAATTATAGTAATATTTTAACATTTAATAGGAATTTTATTGTGATTAGACTGACAAGATTTAAACAAATATATATTTATCACAATATGACGCAACTTTATCATCTCATCAACATATTTTTTGCCTTCCTGCAGGCAAAATAAATTAGTCCACGATCGCTTCCTTCCACATCCTTTCCCATTCTTTATTCACTAGTCTGGGCTCTGAAAAAGTGTCGTTAAATAAACTATAAATAAAAATAATCTATTTCCTATGTATGTCTGTAAGTCTGTGATATTTTATTATGTCAAAACATAATTGTCCTGATATTGATTTTTTAATTGTTCGGTTTAAAGGTTAGGAATTTTCAAACGAGTTTTAAGTACCTGCATTCATTTATTCATTAGATCTTTATATTTTTACTTTTCAGAAATATGGTAGAGGTCTGGAAAATTATTTTTAACCGCTATACAGAGCAGAAGCGTGCAACAAATGTTGAACAGTTACTTCACAAACAATTTCTCAATTTCATTGAAGCAGAAAGAATTTCGCGGAAATTTTAACACGCGAACGTCTACACGGAATCTGGACTCGGGACTTGCATTTTTCTTTTCCGTACAAGACTCAGCTGGTAAACGAATTCCAGTCTAGAGATCGCGAAAAACGCCTAGAATACTCCCCTCGCTTTCCCAGATGGCTTACGGAACCCGAAGGTTCATCACCGAATTAACCAAAGCCCTCCACCGGACCCTGTCCTGGGCTAACAAAATCCAGTCTCCTTCAACTCCTATCTCCCATAGATCCCGCCTGAGATTATCCTCCCATCTACGTCTAGGTCTCCCCAGAGGTCTCTTCCCCTCAGGCTTCCCAAATAGTGGACCCAACCAACCAGATGGCTTAGTGAACCCGAAGGTTCATCACCGAATTCACCAAAGCCCTCCACCGGACCCTGTCCTGGGCCAACAAAATCCAGTCTCCTTCAACTCCTATCTCCCATAGATCCCGCCTGAGATTATCCTCCCATCTACATCTAGGTCTCCCCAGCGGTCTCTTCCCCTCAGACTTCCCAACCAACACCCGGTGCACACCTTTATGGGCCGATTTTAAATTTTTAAGTATCTTCTGAATCAGGCTGTTTATAGACGCAAGACAATTACGAGGCAACCAACTCAAAAATTCTTGAAGTCGTAAGTTTAGAATTTTAACGATACGGAAATTAATTAAACCAAAATTATACATTTTAAAGTTTAAAGTAAAATAATAAATAACTAACTTCATATCGTGATGAAGATAATATAGAGGGTTAATTTAAAAGAATTATTCTACGATTTGATCGATCAGCCACGAACTTCTGAACCAACTTTCCGACGTGTGTATAAACAATACTATCGAAGGAAAGTGTCAATACTGCCATTACTGACAGAGTAAAATATAACGTTATATATTTTTTTATAAGAAAATACATTAAGGAGACTCACGAAATATTTTTATGGGGGACAAATCAAGAATAATGAAATGTAAATTAGCGTTTATAGGATAACAGGAAATGCATATAATATTTTAGTCGGTAATGAACCAATTGCTAGACAATGGTGTATAAATGATGCTGGAAGGTGTTAGTGTGGGCTGGATTTATCTTCCTCATGACAGGCTCCAGTTGAGGGCCTCAAGATGATACCTGACATTGGGGTACCAAAAGACGTAGGGTATTCATTGACAGGGACGTTGATCTAGATTCATCTCGGCACGGCGAAGTCTTGGAAACAAGCAATTAGTTATCTGTCAACAAGTTCTTCGCCTACAATAAAACTTGAATGTTCATCACCGTGTTCACAAAAGCTCGTATTTACTTTATCCTGAGAGGGGCGAACTCCAACTCCTTCACACACAGTATTTAAGATAAATTTTAAATATTATATTTCCATCTACGCCTAGTTCGAATAGTGGTCTGTTACAGTAAAATTGTCCGAAATACATTCAGAAATGAAAACGAATGTAAAAATCTAGAATATCGAACTGAATGTGACAAATTTGTGTTTAATGAAATAATATGAAGATGTGTAAACACGAACCAGTCCTCTGAACACACGTCTGGATTAATATGCATTTTTTTAATGTTCTCGAAGTATGATTTCTGTCAAAAATAAACATGGTTAGGATTCCCTGGAATATCACTGTATTAGTTTTTTTGGTTTTCATTAAATATCTGTTTCAAAACTTGATTAAGCTGATTTGTGAAAGCATAAAAACTTTATAATTCGTTTATGAAGTACCTGATCTATTGATTAAAACTTCAAACAAGCAACAACAACGGGAAATGACGACAAAGTTTTAAACGTTTATACTTCCATTTTATTAGTTTTAATGTAATTATTTTTTATTGGTTTTTTATTTTTAATTCCGATTTCGTAGGTACCTCAGAAAGACTTAAATTTATTTGTTCAACCAGAATTTGCTTACCCTAAAGTCATGCAACACGCAACATTTTAAATACGCTAAAAATAAGCTGCAACTATAAAGAAGATTAGACAGTGAAGACGTCGTGAAACAGCAGACATGAAGACTCAAGATTTAAGAAGACATTAACTGATAAGTCTTTAAGGCTAGACTTTTTTAATATCTCAGAGAAGACAATTTGGTGGAGTTTCTCACTTTTCGTGTGTGAGTAAAGGTACTGGGTAAGGAATTGACTAACGGGGTTCGATTCCCTGTAGGGGCAGGTATTTTTCCTTTTCCATCACACCCTTAACGGTTGTCTTCTAACCAATTGGTAAGGCGGACGCAACGTAAAACCGAACTCAGATCAATCCAATGCATCTGTTAAAAACTTTTCATTTGCTATTTTGTCATTTCGAACTAGAAGAGTGATTTTCAAAAAAAAAAAAAATATTTCATAAAATTAAAAGAAAATACGTGTATCTGATAATATATTCTATGTGAAGAAAAAATGTCTGTACTCGATCTAGGTGATATTATTGGATTTGTTATATTTCGGAAACAAAGTTACTCCTTCTCGATATTTACAATGAGATATTTTTGTTTGTTCCAAACTGCGCAGAACATGGATAATTTTGAAGTAGTGGACACATAAAGCACGCAAAACTTCAATAAAATATTTATTTTAATTTAGTCTAGAGCAGTGGTATCCAACCTGGGGTACGCGTACCCCCGGGGGTACGCGAATACATCTTAGGGTGTACGTGAAATTTAAAAAAAAATATTTTATGATAACCATTGAATAATAAGTAATGTAATTTATTTAATTTATTTTAGATGTAGATTATATACTATGTATAACTTGAATTATACACCAACAACTTTGGGGGTACAAAGTTGAAGACAAATTATATCTGGGGGGTACGCGAACAAAAAAGGTTGAATTCTACTGGTCTAGAGTATAACACAACACGAAAAAAACACTAACCACGTCTAAAGAAAAACGTCGACTAACATCAACAGTGTCAACTGATTAAAAATCAACGTTTGTGAAAATATATTTCGTGTTTAACGTTATGAAGCTGCTAATTGCCAATCAGTTCACAATATATCGCTTAAATATCTCTCTGAAAACACAAGGATTAAACAGAGACGACAGAAATCAAAGGTTGCCG